TACCCAACGCCCCAACCTTCTCCGACCTTACGATCCAAACCCGATGCTTTGCCCGACCTCCGGTCCTTCCACCTCTGTCCGAGCCACCCAGTTCATCAGAGAGAGAGAGAGAGAGAGAGAGAGAGAGAGAGAGATTAATATTAATTAATTATATTTAATTAATTTTAATCTTAATTATTAATTATTCATAATTAACTATAATTAATTACTAATTATCATTAATTTTAATAAAGTATATTTAATTAGTTTTAATTTTAATTAACAATTATTTATGATTATTCATAGTTAGTTATTGATTAATTATAAATATTGTAATCAATTTCTTTTGATTATAATTAATTGTCCATGTGTAAGTGTTTTCCCCTCTTGTGCCTCGACATGCATGCCAATGCCACCAACTATAGCAAAGGTATGACTCTCTAAACTCAGATTACTGCTCTCAAAGTTAGCGGCAGATCGTAAAATCGCTCAGACATGCCTTTATTGCACGTGGTGGGATGGGACCCTTGTGCGACGCCTACGACGGGACTGGTCACCTAAACTGGAGAGCCAGTTTTCATTGTTTACGACAGATCGGAAAACCGCCCATACACGCCTTTATTGTGCATGGTGGGATGGGACCCTGGTGCGACGCCTACGGTGAGGTGGGGTCATTTATAAGTACCCCCGAGCGGGGGGGAAGCAAAACTGTGTCTTTTAAAATAGGTACCGTCAAAGATCCATACACGCCTTTATTGCGCGTAGTGGGAAGGAAGGTCATGACTGTAGAGTACTAGTTCGACGACACCTAACATGCCCGCTTTTGTTGCACATGGTGGGAAGACTGAGTTACTCGTAATTTTCTCTAAACGGGGGAGACGTCGGGAGGCTGCCGAAATTTTGTCTGAAATAAGACAAGGACTTGAATAAATTTTGAACAAGTGAACACATGCTTTGGACCTAAATGAACAAATAAAAGGAGCTTAATATGATTCTAACCAAATGAGCAAATGAATTAAACTAAACTCAAGCAAGAAAACTTTAAACTTGCTACTTGAACAAATCATAAAAGACTTGGACTTGCAACAAGTAAACTAGAATTGAACATGATTGAATTGAAAGAACCGCAGGGGACATAGAACTTGAGCTTGATAATTGATCTCAAGCAAGGGCTTGGTTCGAACTACAAGGCTAAATGAACTTGAACATGAAGCAAGGAACTCGAACTTATGAACCTTTGAACTTAATTGAACATCCGCAGGGGACTTGTGAACTTGCTGTAATTGACCTAAGCTAATTCAAATCTAAATGATTTCAATCTTAATTAAACCACAAGAATTTGAATTGAACAAAGACTCAGAACTTGAATCAGGTGGACAAACTTGGACATGAACTCAACAACATTATTTGGGACTTGAACTTGCAAGCATTTGACTCAAATCCGAAGTGAACTCAATGTGACATAGAACTTGAAGAACTTGAATGAATGTAGAAGACTCATAATGCAATAATTCATCTACAAACAAATCATGTTGGAATATCCTCATGAACACAGTTTGTCAACAAACAATGGCAATTGAAGAGTGCAACGATATGTTTGCAATCAAAGCATAAAATTTCAAAGAGATATCAATGGATCATCATATTAATTGGAATGCAAACATTTTTTCTATACAAGATCTGAACTGTATTCACATGAAAACGTAAGATTTAGGAAGCTACGAACATAATATGCTCACAAACAACAAGATCCCTTGCCAACATGTTAGGACAATATGTAATGAATATTAGGACACTCATATGATGTTCCTACAGGCTGCCATAAGAGACTCACTCTACACATTATATATCAGTTGAAAGCATAAATGAAAGAGATGTATCATGTAACATCTTGCCTACAAGTGGAAAGGAGAATTTGTAGTAGTTATCAGAAATCTACAAAGGACATCATAATATCTCTCCAGTCAATGATGGTTCATTTGTAGTTGAATGTAGTAGTTCCCTACGAATATTGGGATGCTATATATAACAAGTACAAAGGGCATATGTTGACTACGTTAATACTTTGTGGACAACATCCAAATAAAAGAAAATATGTTCAGCCCCTTCCCTACAAATCTTTTGATAGGCATGTGAGTAAAGTTTAGAGATCTAACAACATCTCTATAATGGATATGGTGAGCATGGAAGTCTACAGTAATTGTTCGCACAGCCTGTGATGATATCATAACATGTATACATGTGTATCACTCGCGAGTGGAGAGGAAAGACATACAATATACATGACAGCTTAATGTATGCATTGAAGCTTGAAGTGTATGCACGGAGTTTGCCGCAAATGCAATAACATACTTACAAGTGATGTGCATTAGCAAACAGTGAATAATACAGTATTCTAGAGCCAACATGGATCAGCACACAAGTAACTAGAACAATCTCCTACAAACACTGGATGAAATATAATAAATGCAAGCGTTCATGGGCACTTGTAGGAGACCCGTCGTACATATCAAATGGCATATATGAACAACATGTCAAATGACTACAACAAGTGCAAATCTTTATGAGATGTCATAAAAGATTTGTTGTATGCCGGGTGTATCAACCACAAGCAGAAGATTCGTTAGTGCATAATAATCAAATGTTGCACGATAGTCTACCTGTATAAAGCAGCGAATAACTTTATTCACAAGCTGCTACGCCACACCACCGGATCCACAACTTCTATGCAAGCAGACAGAAGGCGTTTACAAATACTTTCAAAGTACCCTCGCATGTGCACCGTAGTTTATATATAAATAGGTACACTAAAGGGGTATAAGCAATCATGAAACCTGCATGGGCCCCGGTGAGCGTGTTATTGGTACACACGTGATGTCTAAGGATACTGCCTAGGTTAATAAGTGAATTCGAGTTTGAACCCTATCCTTCTATGTGGCTCAATAGGAGTCGATAGGGTTCGAACCATCAAACAAATATATGATTACGACGACCGATATATTTGTTTTAATACATTCATATTAGGCCTTCAATACCTATAACTATAATAATTCACTAATTAAGGCACAAAGCCTATAAAACCTGATCCTCTATCAGCAGGCTGATAGGGTCGATAAGTTTCAAGCCATAAATAGAAATGACCCCAAACACTCCGATGATGGCTGTGTTGAATGCAAATCTCAACCGGAGGGGTTCATAAACATTTCAAATAATGCAAAATGCCACACAAATACTTATGAAATTAAAAGCTCCCAAAAATCTAAAATTCCAAAATCCCAAAATCCAAAAATATTTAAAATTGAAGATTCAATCATCAAACACTTAAAGAAAAATCCATCCATCACTCCGCAACAGTTTGCCGGTTGGACAAAATGAAATTTACTTAAGTTCCCATAGACCCAAATGCCTAGTCAAAAATATCACTAGGATCCATTCTTAAATAATCTCCTACCAATAAGGACGTGGTACGTGTCCTCTAACCGGTAGGTTTACCACCAAATGGCACCGCAAGATAAACGATTATGACCTGGGGCCCTCTGATCCGAGTGATTTTGTCGCCAAATAGCACCACGAAATACCGGTTATGGCCAGAGCTAATGCATTCCTTATTGACATCAAATCCTTGAGATATGAATTAATAGGATATGATCGATATGGCACAAAGCTCTCTGTTAGCTAAGGTGGATTCAAATTTGTCCCCTTGGACAAATATTCACCCCAGGTCTACAAGGTACCCTTGGACGAAGCAACATATGGCTGCCGATAAGGATCCTTCTGTCAGGTTGGGTCGACTACCTTCTCTGACTAAGTAGACCAGGGACCACGATGGCCCGAGATGACGGAACCATGGGATCTTGATCGGGTCCATCATCCATTCCCCCACCATCCGCTTTAAGTGAAAGGTGGTGAAATTTTCAATTTTAAATATCAAATCTCAAAATTTGTTAATCCTTCAAATTCATAAATTCTTCAACCAATCCACATACCTATGCTGCTACTATACGCCAGATACGCGTATCTCTACGTATCTGATTAACCCTTAGCCTTACTCGAAAGTTCTCTCTCGTTACCGGGAGGGGTACTTAACTGTAGGGGCTTATGCCTATATAAAACCAGAACTCAGATCATAAAGTCCTCGCAAAATGAGGGCGAAAACTATTGGTAATGTCTTATCTACAAACCCATATGCCTTCCAAAATTTACACCGAAACTTATTCCGTTAAAACTCCCTCGCCAAAAGAAAAAGCACATCAGTGTGGGCAGAAGTCGGGGCCGAATTTTCGGAGCCCACAGGGAATTTTCGCTGCGATTTTGCAACTGGTGGGAAGGGGATTTTAGCAGGGACATTTATGAAAGTTTTAACTGCCACAATTGGCAATGATTAAAACCTCTTCAAACTCCCCAGAACAGTGGTAGTTAAAACATCCACTAGTTTTCTAGATTTTCAATTATTTTGAAATAAGTTGGAGAAGCAATAATAAAATTTAAGAATAATAGTCGTAAATCAATAACACAATTGTAAAAAACATATGATGTTGATTTCAGGTGAAAACATAAGTTGAAATGTTCGTAAAATATAACATAAATATATATAATTACCTGCGGGTATATTCATTTTCTCATAAATAAAATGAAATAGTATTATTTGATCTCAACAAGCAAGAAACATTAAGAATTTTATGAGATTAGCTAATTAAAGTAATAAAGTTAGGATTAACTATAAGTAATCATTTTATGAAAGTATTTTCTAGGTAGTCTAAGAACTTTTATTATATTTAACGTAAACAAAGTCCTAATGTTTTATTAAACTCGAGGTTGTTAGAGACTTAGATTTTATCAAAGATGTGAAGTCATTAGAGCAAAAACTCCCCAAAAATGTAACCTATATTGGCATTTGTAATTCTCACAAATATGTACAAAATGATTGCAATTCTAACTTAAGACAACATTCAATACATCTAACCAATAAAACTATGCATTCATGTTACAAAATATATAAATCAAACACAAAACAAAGAAGATTAAAGTAGAAAACACATTCCATTAAAACCAAAACACAATGTTCTCCATAATAAACAATTTCAAACTTACAACTAAACATTGTACTTCACATTTTCAACCTCATACTTATTTTAAGTCAAAATACAGTTATTTTAATTCAAATGCAATGTTTTCTGGTTCTTCCTCTTACTATTTGTCCACTCCACATGCTCCACCACCTAATGCGCCCTATCATTGTGATTCTTCATTTGCATTATCTTCACCCAATTGTATTGTCTTCACCAAGACCACCAAATTCATAATACTTTGATAAAACATAAGATAATTACAACAACATCTATAAGCCAATCTATCGATCGAAATAGACAAGATTGCCTAACCAGAGAGGTTATTGATGGAAATGCACCTCCAACGAATCTCACCGTTCTTTCCAGTTTTTACACCATAGATGTCGATCTTCTGCGTAACAGCAGATATAAATTTTATGATCATTAGATATGCTTACAAATAAAAAAGCCAAATATCACAAAACATAACAAATAAATTGATGACAGTGAAAAAAAAAAAGAACAAGATAAGAGCCAGTATGGCCCATCCTTGAGACCGTGCATTGTCATCTTTATTCTCAACTTATGTTGCTTCTCATAAATAAGATATATCAGCATAACCTGCAAACAACAAAAAAATCTGTATGATGCAAGAGAATAATATTTTTTAATTGTTAAAAAAAAATCTTAAGTTTAAACTGATATGTTGGTGTGAATTAGAATAGAACCTGATAAATACTTTTGAACAAAACATATATTACTCATGGGAAAAAATAACTAAACAATCCATGTAAATAAAAATGTACCAAGGACAACAGAAAAATTAAGCCATATTTGTGTTTCAGACTATGGCATTTCCTTAACATATTCAAGGACATCATTGCACCATTACCTTATAGGGAATGAATTTATGCATTGGATAACATGAATAAAATAAAAAAATTATCATACGATTGCTGAAAATAAACATTTGTAGTAATTGGAGCATTTGTGCAAACACCTTATGAGCACTAACCAAGGTGAACTGTGTCATTTAGGGTTGAATCGATAGGAATTTCACACCTGCTTAGATCTTTATAGAGCTTGCAAAACTTCATGTAGCAGCTGGACTGAGATCCCATATGTATCACTCAAGTTAACCATCATAGTCGCTGCTTCAGCAGTTGCAACTTCAAGACTCGCCAGCTAGTTGCATTCGCCCATCAAGAGAGTCCAAAGCTCGTTTGTCATCGCCTTCAAGTTCTGCCTACTTATCACAATTTTGCAAGATAATGTAATGCTCAATTACATTTGTTTCCTTGCATAATCCATGCACGACATCACATAATGAAGCTTCAGTCAGACCCTGGGATGAGTTTAAGAGCTGAATTGAAACATAAAGAAAGGAACCTGGATCTGATGTAGGTTTGAAATAAACTTCTAAACATTATCAGATTTTATATTATATATGCTAGGTAGCCATTTTTTTCCTTATGTGAAGATAAATTTTAATGGTTCTGTGAACAGCCACTCAACTGGCTAGGGTGGAATTATCACAGTCCATGTGGGTAATGTGCTGTGTGCCTTTTTGGGGGTCTTAACTCCTTGTTCTACTATTATTGTTGAGCTTAAAGGTCTTAGTTATGGGCTTAAACTTTGTATTGCTATGGATAGTAAGGAGTTTTTGTTTGAGGTGGTTGCAATGTTGGATTTGCATTTAGTGCAGGGTGATTCCTTTAGTAATCCTTAAAACTTTTACCTTATTTGGGATATTAAGCAACTTCTTAGCAGGTGTAATTATTTCTTGTCTTATATTTATCGTGAAGGTAATTGTTGTGTTGATTTGACGGCCAAATTGAGTAGTAAATTATATGATTTTTATGAATTTTCTAGGCTAGTTATACCCCATCTTCTGAGGGGCATGACTATGCTTGATAAAATAGGCTTTTATATAAGGAGGTGAGGTTTTGTTTGTCTTTAATTCTAGTGCATTATGTTTTGTTTGTTTTTTCTTGATATATATTTTATTTTTGGCCTCTAGTGTTTGTTGGAGTTATGTTAAGTTGTTGTGGGCTTTTGTTTGGCTTCTTTGTAATTGTGCTATTTATTTTTTTATTATTTTTGCATTTGTTTCGACTTTTTCTTCCATCTATTCTTATTGTTATTGTGGGCTGGGTGGCTATTTCTTTGGGGTCTTATTTTGGATGAATTTCTTATTTTTTGTTGGTTCCTAGGCTTAGCTTTGGGGCTCTTCTGCTGATTTTTCGTGAGTTTTGGGGCTTAGTTCTTATCGTTATTTTCATAGAATTGCTTCTCCTATAGACAATGTTGGTGATAGCTCCTATTCCTGCTTATTATTTTATTATATGTGGCTTGAGTTCGGGTCATATCTCCATATGTTATGAAATATATGGTTGATTTCCAAGCTGTACTGACTATTTTGAAAGTTTTCTTCTCATGTTCTTTGTTAATTTTTAATTCTTTGGAGTTATAGCTATTGCTAGTGCTATATTAATAGGGCAATTTGTTTTATCCTTTATGATTACATGTTATTTCACCATGTTTTACAGATATCTCATGATGCAGGTATGCTGGATCTCTTCAGATATTTGTATTATTACATTTTTTTGTAAGATGATTGGGGTGATGGTTTATTTGTGGATCTCCTTTTTTGGATGCTAATTCCCCGCTACCCTAAAATATTATTAGGTTTTTTTATACTGGTGCTTAGAGGGGATCTTAAGCTCTTTGATTTTCTTTTTCTTTTTTCTTTGTTTATCAGCTCTTTTAAGCTATAGTGTGCTAGATATCCCTCTTATGAACTTATAATTTTTTATTTTAATTAATGTGTAAGCCCGTCAGGAAGCTTAAAAAAAAAGCCTCTTTCACTTAATCATGTCATGATCTAACAGTACTAGCAAAAAATTCTAAATCAAATTTAAAGTAGTTTGGATCTAAACCCAAGTCTTGGTTAAGCATGGTTGACCATCTCATCTAAGGTTTACTAAACCAACCCTTAAACCATTAAACATGCATTTATTACATATAGGACATGTCATGACTTAAAAGGATCATCAAATATGTTCAAAATGTCATATGGAATTGGTTGGACCAAACTCTAACATCTGGTTGACTCTAGTTGACCAAAATAACTATGGTTGACTGAGTTAAACCTTGACCCTCGAAACCATAAATTCAATGCTCTAGACCATACCAAGGCATCCAAACCCTTCAAGGCCATTTATTTGGTTCTCCGGGATTAACCCAAGGTGACCTAACACTTAGGTCTACTTTGGTTGGCCATATGGCTTTACCCAAGTGGTCAAAATAGATTCCCCATAAGCCATCAAACATATGTCAAATTGGTCCCAGTAAATAATTCCATTAGATGACCCATGACCTTCTATATTTGCCATGGCTAGGCTAGCTCATGGGCTAACCTAGGTCAGCTAATTGGGCTGATCTAAAGTCCTAAATATTAGTAATCATGATCCAACTTGCATATATAGACAGACCTATGGAAAATTAACTCATGCGTTATGTTTAGAAATATTTTAAACCCATTAGCTTCTCAGATTCCCCACTGTGCTAGTCTATGTCAGCCAAAGTTTTATAATTTGTGATTTAATACTTTGGTTTGAATCCCTAACATCATAGCCATGTGCTCATATTGGCCTAAACTTCCATGAGACCTTCATAGACTCCCAGATCCTTAAATTGTGGCTTGAAATAGCTTGAGGTAGCTTGATTCCTTGCCACATTGAGTTCTGGCTAACCTATGAATACTCTAATTTTTTTAAAGAAGGGTTAAAATTTTAATCTCAAGGCTTCCCTAGAGTTCTATCTTTCATTCCACAACTCCCCAGCCCATCCTTTGGTTATATCTAGAGAGTTTGAGCTAGCTTTAGTGCGCCCATCCTCATCCTATTGGCTTACCATCAAATGAGGATTGATACTTGTGGTAAAATGAGTGCAACCCATTTAAATCAAAGAATGATTGTCCATCGAATTCAGGTTAAAACTAAATAGGAGCTCAATTTACGTAGGTGCTACTCATGTGTGTAGAGAATGTTGAATCCAACATGATCTTACTGCTTAATTGAATGTTCATAGACAGATGATGCTATCTGATAAATTTTATAAAGATCCTTGGAGTCAATCTCTCTTAGCTTGAAGAAATTCCTATACGGCTATGGAATCAATCGTGAGAGGTTGAATATAAAATCTAGGCGGTTAGTTTCAACCAATGGCACTAATTATGTCATATATGATATTGTGCTCTACCCTATTTTAATCCATTAATCTAAACATAAAAAATCTACAATCAGATGGATATTGACCACAGTGAGTGATTCTTCCGTGTCACTAATTGTTAGTCATATAATTAAACGGTGCCATGTGTAAAAGTGGGCAATGTTAGTGGTTGGCTTTGTAAATTGGATTAAAATTATAAGAAAAATTATTTGAATGTCAAAATGCATAATACTCTTATCAAAATTTAGTGATCTTAGGCATAATGGATTAGAATTCAGGAGTAGAATAAAAGCTGAATGGTTTAAACCTAAAATTTTCTTAACTTTTCTTTAAGTGATGAATAAACAATATTCTATAAAACTGAAATCATTAAAATATTAAAAAAAAATAGACTCTATGCATTAGATTTATTCCTTTTGGGAAGATAAAATGCAGTATAAATATAAGCCTTGGACTTACTAATCAATATCTCATTGTACTTGGGTGTTATTTAGCGCTATGTTTTTCAAATTTTAAAATAAATAATTCAACACTTTAAATTTATTCTTAAATTAAATTCTAAAACTAAAATTTAAATTGAAATAAATCCCCTTTGACCTGAAGCAAATTAAAAATAAAATGTTATATAATATTAAATAATAATAACTTAGAACCATATATATATATATAGTTTCGAAAGTAAATAATCCTTATTTCTTAGGAGATCATTATCTTTTGGAATCTCAAAGAAGATCCTGGAGCTTGATGATAAAGACTAAAGTAAGTAATCAAATATAAATATATATTATTTAGGATGTTGAAATTCAAGCTTATTGTGGTTGAGCTTGATGAGCTTTACTTTTCGGTATACCATGATTTATATTTTACATTGAAGATCAATAAACAAAAAATTGTATTTACACAATGCTTTTTTATCTACTATTACATATTACATGCATTAAATTCATGTCAGGGGTGGATTTGTGTTATAGGGTAGCCTTTTTATAGGTTTCTTTCAGTATGCATGTTTTTGACTTTGTAGGAATATGTATATTTGTTCGAGGATAATCTAGAAGTGGTACTACATACATGAACAACTCTATCCTAATATGCATATATACATGAATATTAAATTCTTGTAATATATATTAGCCCAACACACAAGCCAACAATAAGGAATTAGGAGCCTAAGAGTGGGGTAGCAATAATTTTCCTATGGGTTGGGGTCGTTATGTTGATGGATTTTTCTAGAAAATTTGAACTTAAAAAATGTTTAAATTTAATTAGAAGCAATATTTGGAGTCAACAATGACTTTGAGTTTATTTGCACTAGATAAGTGCTTTTGCATATTAAAGCGTCCTAAGAAAAGTGTTCATTCTAAATAATCAAAAATCTCTACTAAGAAAGTTTGACCCAAATCTGACGAAAGAGACTTCCTAGGATACTCAAATGTTGAAAATCCTTTAGAGTTTTTAATTAAAGGACACTGGTGGTAGAGGATGCCACTTATAAAGTTTTTAATGAATCTGATAATTCTAGAGGGACTAGTGTAGAAGAAGAAGAAGAAGTGGTTGAAGTCGTCCAAGGAGTAGAATCTGCAAATTTGGAAGAAAGGGTATAAAATAAAAATTTGCTACCTAGAGAATAAAGATATTCTTGAAGTCATCCTAAAGAACTGATCTTAGGAGACCCATCTGATGGTATTAGAATTAAGTATGGATTTAGGTGAAAGTCCGAATAGGTTGTTAGACCTATTAAATTTATCCATAGGCTAAACAAGAGTGGGGTAAATTGGTAATTTAAGAATCTCTTGATAATTTTAGAAACCGATTAATTTTTTTAAGCAAACTAAAAATTTTCTCAAAATAAAATTTTTAACCATAAAATTAAAAGTACAGAACAATAAAAATGTAGAAAAGAAAAATAAAAGAACACAAAAATTTATAGTGGTTCGGTCCAATTAGACCTACGTCCATTCTCTGAAGTTTTCCTCTTTAGGTATTGCACTATACTAAAATGACTCTCTTTTTATTCCCACAGTAAGGTGGAGAAGCCCTTACAATAACCTCTCTACCACCAAACCCTTGTGCGGTAGAGTACCGTTGTCTTTTATTACCTTCATAGTGACGGTAGAGAACTGGCATCCTTTCACACCCTCCTGGTGATGGAAAAGTACCAACATTCCTTTGAAAATCTTCTTCTAAGATTCTTCAAGAAACTAGGGATGAACTTTAAAGAACAAGTAAGAGATATTCACTGTTGGACAACCTAGTGAATCCTCTCACAAATCCATCTTAAGAGATCTCTCACTCTCTAATCCCAAGAAACTCTCCCAAAAACTCCCCAAGTGCACACCCTAAACAAATTCATAATAGGAGTTCCTTTGCAATCAGTTTTTAAAACTCTTATTAATGAAAGACAAGAAAAACCGTCTAGAAAATTAAATTTTTTAATT